TGGAAGCACTAGGTAGCACCATTTGGAAATCACAGTAACGCCATCAAGGTCTTTTTTGTGAGTAAACTTCTAGATGAATGCAATGAACATGTTGCAACGTCCACATCATTAATATGGGATTTCAGAGTTTCTCAAGTCAAAAAGCTTTGTTATAAATTGTTCTTGGTTCTCAATAGTCAAGCCTAACGAGCCTAATAATGGAATCCGATGTAACCACAATGATAGCTAAAGAGGATCTTTCAATAGCCGGACTTGCAGATGTCTTGCGAAAACGAATTATTCATCTTGAGCCTACCGTAGACTAAGGTTCACTAAAATGCTATTGTAGTGATAAATGGAGGAATCAATTGGATCCGGTTGTACAAACGTTGCAGGTCCTTCCAGGTCCGGCCTCGAACCTTATGACGTCGGGGTTAGAAATAGGCCCCAAGAGGGTCCTTTGTCCCTCCTGGAAGCGACGGACTTTCCTAGGGAACGTAGCCCATCCATTCTGCCTGCCCTGAAATCGAGGACTTCGTGGAGCAGTCCTGTCTGCAGTCGCCGAGCATAAAATCCGTATAGTGAGTGAGTGCCCGCAAGGCCGGGAGGATGAACAATGACGTGATAATTCCGGAATTCTGGACTTGTTATGTCCATAAATAACATGAAGTCGTGACCGGAATGACACTGCCGCTCCTTCATTCTCGGTACTCGTGAACTAGAGAATGATAAAGTCACCGGAACCATCTCTCACGGCCCGGTCATTGTCTTACGCGGACCAATACCGGGCTTGATCCACTCCCTGTTATCAAAGCACCCGGTGAAACCAGACCACCGGTGCTACTTCGGGTACCGTGGCCGTGATCACCGGCCTCGGTCAAAAAGTGAACCCTGGTAGACCCTGCAGTTTGAGGAAAATTGATTGATTGATTGAGGATTTTATGATCTCCTTGCTAGAATAATAGAAAGGTAACTGGAAGGAGCGAGGGGAAAAGTAAGGGAGGGATGAGGGGAAAATTTGTTAGGAAATGTGGAATGAAAACATTATCAACACTGGGTAGATTCTTCTCTATGTAGATTGGGCTTTTAATTCAGAGAAGTACCCGCGAGGGGAAAAATAAGAGAGGAGTGAGGGGAGAATTTGTTAGGAAATGTGGAATGAAAAAATTATTAACACTGGGTAGATTCTTCTCTATGGAGATTGGGCTTTCATCCAGAAAAGGACCCACATTAGCTTCTGTGAGAGTCACGTTTGGCTTTTCGGAAGGCAGCCTGTCCACTTACTTTACTGTCCTTCGGTCTTCCCCGCAGAGCTCCACAAACGGGAATACGCTGTGTTGATCAATGCTTTATCTAAATTTAGGGAAATCTCCATCGGAGTCAACCCTTATTTAACCCGACAGGACAACCCTAGTTACCGCAACGATGCTCCTGTCCTAGAATCTGACCAGCCAAGTTTAGAGAACGTCTCCATTCGATGCTTGGCTGGAACTAGGATTGGAAGCATAGATCTCTCGCTACCGCTAAACGTCTTCAAGTGGTTCTAACCATGGCACCTTTTCCTCGTCCGGTCGACGGCTTTATTATCGCGTTGATTGATTCCAACGTGGTGGGCTGACAAGTTACAACGTTTTAAATGCACGGGGTTCGGATCGAATCAGCCCAGAGGAAAATATTGCGAAGTTCACGGCCGTTTGGAGAGATCGAAGAAAACAGGGACTTGGGTTCGAACCTTCCAGTCGCGGGTCGGTGGACTGTGGTGATCCCGGTTTCCGAGAAGAAGTCTCGCTGCGCGGACTTCACAGCCTCCGCTGCCCGGGACTACCGAATAACCGTTTCCACCGGTGCTCCCACCAGGAAACGACGACTTGCAGCTGACCACTAACCTCACCGCAGAGTCCTGAACTTAACCAGGGTCAAGGGTTAGGATTGTATTGAAGGGCCCTTCGTCTGTTAAAATTTCTCGTTGGCACTTGGAAATTTGGTATTCTCTCGAGGCGTCAAACATGTCTGTATGTCGGTGGGGGCTGCGCTTTGGGGTAGTTGCATCTGTGGAATGATTGCTAGATTGTCATGGGAGATCACAACTTGTCATGACTGCCTTACCGCGGTATTGGAAGCGTTCATCAAGGATGAGCGTGCAGTTGTTTGCCCTTGCCCGTGCAGTGCAGACACCAATGGACATGATGGACGCGTTGTACAGCGATGTTTTCATTGCCGGCCAGGAGTGTCTCCGAATATCTTAAAGCAATCAATCATTCGAGGAAAAGTGTAGATTGTGTGAAGAACTGGAACTTGTGAGACTTGATCGAGCAGCGACACACAGAGAGAGGACTTCAATAGCGGAAACAAAGATAAGAAGGAAAGTGTGATCTACACATCGTTGCATCAAGTGGCATGGGAGCCGGGGGAGGAGAGGTCGTTCAACTCATGGCAGCCAAACATCACGGACATCAAGCAGAGAAAGCTTATGTTGCTGTAACCAATCACAGGAGTTCATGAAAAGGTATTGGAGCTTCGTACTCCGTATGCGGTCCAACGCTGAGGGGCGAGTCCCATGGAATACGGACGCCATGCCTACACTTAATGCATGATTATGAAACTTCAGTTGCGATAATTTATGAAAATCAGTTACAAGAAGATACGAAAGGGCACCATACGAACTTTGATGCGGCAGTAGAACAAAGAGTGAAGAAAATCTTTGCATGGGATTCACAACATGGTTCAGAACAGGGTTACCAAACAGCAGAATTCGTAACGCAGAGTCTTAACGAGTTAGAGGCCTTTCAGCACACGAGAATGACCAAAAGTACCTTGGTCGCTCGGTCAGCTGTCCCTCGAACTTTGCAGAGCTGTTCTGCATTCGTCCCGGACTGTATCGCGAGAAAAATATACTTCATCTAGTTTAATATCAAGTATTTAAGTACTTCATTTCTTCCCCATGAACGATTTATTCGATATTTTGTCTATGCCAAGTTCTCAGCAACTTCCGACATGCGATGCCTCGTAGATATTTCGGTGCCTTGAGTATAAATTACTGTGCATTGGCTGAATTCAAACATCCTTTCAAGTACACGAGTTGATAACCCCTTAGACCTACGGATCTTTCTATTGAAAATGTAGAACCTGCAGCCTTCCGTGACCTCAGTTGAATGAACTGAGATGTAATATGCCAGTTGCGACCTTGCTATGCACAATAAATAAGAAATGCAAATGGGACAAATGATCTCACGTGCTGTGATCGATCACCGACCTGTGACCTCCGTCTCTTTCCAACTCTATGCAGTCCCTACACTCGCATTGAAGTCGTTCAGTTGCACGATAAGCGTTCACGTAAAATCTCCAACAACTGGAATATGGTTGCTAATCAAAGTGCGAAGGTTACGTGAGACTCTTTGGACACAATTATCAGCGGTGGTTACAGCGTCTTTTGATAAGCGAGAGTGTCTATTACATGGAGCTCCACACTTATTCCCCACATGCCCCTTGGGCTTCATGACATCTGATCATGCCCAAAGGCATAGTTGCACTTGGGTCAGATCCACACGGACTTGTTATGACGAGTCATGTAATCCACACATGTACTGTATTCGACGACCTTCTACTTAAATTAGGCCCAAATTGCTGTACACGTCCTGTAGTAATATCAGTGGATGTGGATTTGATGACCGTGACGAGTAACATAATCGCCGTTGTAGACTTGTCCTCGTCCGGGCAGAAGCAAAAGCTTTCGGAGAGCTAATTTGTGGTGCAGAAGGACTCGAGGGGAAAAGGAAGGGATGCATGGAAGGAAACGCAGGCAGCACACTATCTATCACTCCTGTACGTCTGGCGAGGCGACCGTATTAATTTCTGGTACATCTGACCTCTACGATAGTCCATGAATGTCCCGGGTACAGTATGAGCCCTGCTGGGAGCATACGGCAACGGCTCGAGGCCGATGCCCGGACCTGCAAAAGCTCCACAATCTTGTCAGTCTCGGGATCGGACGTCAGATGCCGCGGTGACGCGAAAAGAAAACGTCAAAACAGTGAAAAGAAAATCTCTCCCCAGGGAACATCGGGACAGATGAGGAGCGAGCGGATTGCGCGGAAGGACACGCTCGGAAAGTCCCTCGGACTTAACTGCCTCATTCCTCGAGCGAGGCGGACAAACGAGTTGGAACTTAGATTCAAGATAAGGCTGGAGGAGGTCTTGACTCAAACCCGGGTCTCCTGTGAGAACCGGTCCACTTGGACACACCCACCGTGGGACTAGCTGGGATTCCGGAACAACCCCGAATCGAGTCTGCTCTCTCGCACGTCTAAATTTACCACGACCGGCTAGATCCCACTCCTCCTTCGCTCCTACCGGCAACTTCGGTCATCAATGCGAGCCGCAAACGATAGAGATCACATAGCGGGCTGGGTCGGACCCTCGGGCGGGCGGGGGAGGGGTGGGCATTGACTGTCGACGGGAAGTGCCTTCCGTGAAGTTGAGTCAGTCAGTCGACCGGACGACAGAGCTGTAGCCGTGATGGGAACAGACCGGTACCAGGTCACCTGGTACCGTGAGTATTGTCATCCCGCCAGGCTCGCAACGTGATGGGAGGAGACAGCGGACATGGCTGCCGGCAGATGACGGCGAAGTGGAGCGTCGGTACGGATAGGGAAGGGCTCGAGGAGGAGGTCGGGTCGGATGAGCCGGGGCAAGTGAGGGCGAGGGCAGGGCAGGGCAGCGGAGGCAGCGGAATGCGGGAGGCATGGTTGGCGGACTGGCTGACTGGCTGGCTGGCCCTGCTGGCCTGGGTTCGAGGGCTGGCTGGCTGGCTGACTGGCCGTGGTGGAGAAGGGCTGGGAGCTTTGCTTTGACTGGGACTGGGACTAGGACTAGGACTTAGGCTGCCGATTCTTTCGCCTGTGCTTACCTGCCTGCCTTTCGATCTACCATGTCCACGATGGTCTGATCTCGTGGACGCAACGACGACATCGACTGGTGCCGCGGACGAGCGCCCCGAGTACAAGGGCAACGGATCGAGGGCCTGTTGCGTGGGAGCAGGGAAGCGCAGAGTAGCGAAGAGAAGCCGAGACGAGGGAGGGAGGGAGGAAGGGAGGGAGGGAGAGACAGGAGGACAGCAGTCAGAGCAGCTCGGGGAGGAGTTGGTGTATGACTGACGACGGTGGGGGCGGAGGACGAGAAGGACGAGAAGGATTGCGTGACGGGAGCTCGGAAGCGCAGGGAATTGCCGAGGTTGGAGAGGAGAGGAGAGGAGAGGAGAGCGCGGGGCGGAATTCGAAGGAATTCGTGTGATCGACCCGATTCGGCGCTGATTCGGATTGGTGGAGAAGGACGGGGTGATGAGCGGGAGGTCGAACAGGGATGAGAATCTGAGCAGCAGCAGAGGTTGCGCGTGGTACGAACTCCGCGAGGGTAGGAGAAAGTGGTGCATGCGTTTGGAGCTCTGCCGGGTGGAATCCTTGCGGGCGTGACATAGGGCGCGGGAGCGATTGGGGGATATGCTTTTGTAGATAGGAGCTCAGTCGACGGGACCAATGAAGATATCTTCGAAATCTCGGGACGCCGATGCGCACCTAGGGTCCATGGAGATCGGCACCCCGCTGCATTCGAGACTCAAGACCTTCCCCTCCACGAGAAAGCGACTGAATGGTACATCCCCCTGCTCCCAATTGCACTCGATCATGCTCTGCGAGTCCGAGTCCTGTCTCCTTGTCTCCGCAGTCCTCTTTGGTGGCGATGAATGAAACCCATGGCTTCCGTTCGTTCCGTCTGCTGCTAGAAGTGCCCCTTGCAGAAAGTGCCCGAGACCTCGCAAGAGCGTGTCGTCCTTTTACAGTCCCGGGTCGTTGATTTTGTCGGTCTATTCACCGTCCTTAGTGTTGCTTTCTTGTTGATTGCCGGGAGCAGTCGAAACGGAAGAGAGCTACAGACAAGACGAGTCGATGGTGGTCACGCCTCCGAATGGAACCAGGACGCCAGCCCGTCTGCGTCTGTCGGTGAGCAGGAAGTCTCGAGAGTCGAGAACGTACCCAGAATATGAGGATGGTCACGATGGCTACGACGCTCCCTACGTTCACGATGCTCACGATAGTGACGGTAGCCTGAGAGAAGAGTATCCCATGACGGATCGCAGGCGAGCATTGTTTGAGCCTCTGGGACCTGCAATGAGGGGTCCTCGAGACGGCTCGCCCGACAGTTTACTTCCTCCTCCCGACTTCGAGACCGCTTCTTATCCTCGAGGCTGGGTGGTGGGAAAGAAACGCAAGCTCGTCAATGTGGATGTCGTGGAGAGCATGCGCCGGATTGCAGTACATGAGATGAACCGGAAGGTTTGCCTCCTTCTGCTTTTGGTTTCCAGTAGTTTTGCTTTTTGATATTTGCTTACCCGAGCTGCGAGGCTATGCATATTGACCGTCGAAGAAACTCGGGCACTCCATTCTTCCCGTCTATCTTATCGATGTGTACGATCCGCAAGCTTGTTCTCACAACATGCCCTGCGCGACGATTCTTGGCTGACTTTGTGAAGTCTGTCACCACCACATTCATTCTTCGATCCCAGCTTGTGAATGCCAGAGGATATCGGCCGTAGTGGTCCGAGCATTCGACTGGCTAAATTCATATTCATAAATATGGAGTGCGCTCAATCACGTCGTCAGGAAACATCAGGCTTATGAGCTGATGCTCGATGGCAACGTGTGCGGGCTTAAGCTGGAGCTTCTGAATTGCTCTGTCAGGAGAATTGACGGGCAACTTCCTGAAGTCCTGTCACGGTTGCGTAGTTTACCAAGCGCAGGAAGCTCTCAGTCTCAGCACAGTAATTTGATGGTGCCTCGAGACTTGAGAGCTTCGTGAGAGAACAAGAGTTCTCATGCAGAAAGAGAATTTGTTTACACTAAGAGAGCACAATGTAATCATCGAGTGAAAAATGACAGGAGAATGGCTTATGGTTCACGAAATCTCGAGATTTGTGCGCAGGAGACCGGGACCCATGAACATATCCCCCATTGTTTAAAAGAATTAAAGGTGATGTAAACAAGAGAAATCGGGGTTGCCCTTCAAACGCTGCCAAGGTTGCCAAAAGCCAAGACAGCTGCTTGGAAGTCCTTCAGTCCACTTCTAGTTATTCTGTTCTGGCTGCAACTATTTATTATCTACAGTGTAGGGAGGTTTAGGACGAGTATATGTCGGTCTTCTGAATTGTGGCTGAATTCGGCATTCAGCTGAAGTTTAGACAACAACGGAGACTAATATTATTGGTAACTTATTATTACGCGTAACTTAGTCAAGACCTCAAATATACCAAGAGGAGGCTGAGTATTTGATTGGCGAAAGCCCCCTGTACAGAAGTCAGTGGAACAAGCGATCATATTTAAGCTGGATCATGCGCTTTCTTTATCCTTTGATGTAATACTAAAATTTCCAGTTTTGCCAAGAATTAACCTGGAGATGAGGCTAGCGAGGATGAACGTTCATTTTCAGTTGCGTCCAATGCAAGTGACTGCAGCTCGGATGGCGTGGGTATCAATAGTGCAAAGATTCCCTGTGTACTGAAGTCATCAGTTGCAACTATCTTACTGAATCGAGATGTGAAATGTCGGTCTTTGCAGGATCGTGAGATCAACGGGCTGAATGAACAACTGGAAGAGGATGCTCGTACCATGGAACATTTACAGTTGCAGCTTCAGTCGGAGCGCAACAAACGTGTCCAGACTGAGCGAGAAAACAACATGTTGCAAGGGCAAGTGAAGATGCTCATGAACATGCTAAACGAAGCTGAGGAAGGCGATGACATGCACGGGTAGTGGGTACAGCTTGTTCTCAGGATTTTTCTCAAAGAAGTGGAGGTAGGGTGGGTTTTGTACACATAAACGACTTTTTAGAGAACGGACTCGCAGGTATATTCATTTAGTTGAGTTATTCGGGGGATGGTTGGGACTCAGTATATATGTAGCCAAACCTTGTTGGAAGTTTCTTGCCATCAGACTTACATTGGAGGGGTTCCTTGCCACCTCTCCAGTGCCAGGGCACCTTTTGAAGACGTTCTCTCTAAGCAAAGGCCACACACAGAGAACGCACAGCGTGTTCCTGAGGTAGACTTGGGTACCACAGTCAATTGGGGTCGGGAGAATTACCCTCACTATTTCTAGTATCACTTCCAACTACCAGTTCCTATAACGTCGCCAGGCAGCTGCTGGAGTTGTGTATCTTGGACACAGCGTCGGCCAGCAGCTGCCGACCACAGCTTTGTGATAAATGAGGTACAGAAAACAAAAATTTAAATCACCAGGTGCTTGGAGGCTGAAAAGGTAGTCAAGACTGAACTGTCCTATTTGTTTCCAGACCACAGTTCTTGTAATTTTTCAATAACTGCTATTTGAAGTCTGATGTAATTTTATACGACCCTTGGGCACTGAAATGACAATGCCGTCACATAATTTAAGTTGTACATTCCTACTGGGTAGTTCTGGGTGCATCTTGGAAACGATACTTGTTATACCTGCAATCTGGCTTTCTGTTATCACTTGTGACGAGGGTCATATCAAAGGCTTTTTGTTTTTCCCACTTCCACACTGTGTTCCCGACGAGAACGATGACCGTGGATATCTTTGGGATGGATGAAATTATCTTCGGTTTTAGCCTTTAGATTTGATGCACAGGCAGGCACTCAGACGCGGGCCACGATCTGGTTCGCATAGTCTTCACCATCCCTTCGCGATGGACACACTACAGCGAGACTCGCCCAGTGTTCGAGATCGTATGGTTTCATCATGAATGTCATGCGAGCAGCCCCTCTAAATCTGAGGTGCCTGGATCTGCTGAGCTGTGGATTATCATTCTGCTGGTACCAATATTATTTCTTGTGAGAGGGGTGACCACGCACCACTGCTCTGTGTGCTTTCAAAGTGGAGGCAGACTGGGGCAGCCAGGGTAATTAGTGGTTCGAGGAGCCGGATGTGGGTCATGTTGGATACTCGTGTGGAAAGTGCTTAGTCGTACGTGCACTCTAGGAGGTTCACGAATAAAATTTCGAGCACATCAACACAACCCGTGCTAGCATATACAAGGTGACAACCAGGTTACTATCCTGGTCTTCCAGAGATCCTCCCCTATGCTGCATGTGTACAGCTCACATGATTTATCGTTACAAGAACGTGTCGATGCCTTTTCGTAGTTGTATCTACCCCTTTGAGAATTTTGTGACCCTTCTTCGAATTAGTTCATTGTTGAGTAGCATAAAATAGAGGTTTAGAGTAGGGGTACAAATACAGGTACGAGAGACAAGAGAGTAAGTTGCGCAGTTTTATGTAATTTGAAGTTCATAGGCTAATAGGTCTACAGCTGTCCACAACCTCAGACACGTAAAAGTCGGTGTGCTTTTTCCGCTTGAGTCCATTACACTGACAAATAGAGAACTGAGGTGAAAGTTTTTCAGTGCTCTGTCTCTTTCTCCCATGGAAAATACTTCCACATAGTTCGGATACTCTAAAGTCTCTAAGCATGACGTGGTGGGAACGATGTCTAGGATTCCTGCATAGGCGGACTAGTTCCACATTGTCTGGATCTGGCGCCACGGCACAGAGGGGTACCGTGCAATCCTTACTATCATCGAGTACAGACCAAAACATGCCCTGACCTGTCTCCTCGCGATCGTTCCAAAAGTACCAAAGTCGCTATGGCGAATCCTGCACGTGTCCGCAGCTTGTGCTCGGCTGGCGTAAGAATTTCTGGGCGGATTGTTTGTAATCAAGTGGCAAGAAACAAGACTGGAGATAAAAGTGTTCAGAGTCAAGAACACGGTATACTTCCAAAACACCACGCGTCACTTTTCTTCGGCCGAGCCACTGGGGCAACAATTTTTGGTCATTGAATTCTTTTCCAAGCTTTAATCCTGTCGAGAGAGACAAAAGGTCACATCTCCCAACTCATGTTCTCCAACTCGAAGATGGTTGCTGAAGAATAGCTACTCCAGTCAATGGAACTAAGATATCTAAGTTCACAGGGAGTACTGACCATATTATAACAAAGGATATGGAATCCTTCGGGGTGCACGGTTTTGCTTCGTGCCTTAACTCCTAAAGGGCTCTGTACCTGTCTACTTCAATTGTTTCCCAGTAGAGTTCCTAGAATGAATCGAATCTGTCTCAAGTCGACTGCTTCAAAACTTCCTCCCGCATCAGCTGGTACAAGGCTGCTCCTCCTTGATGGCAGCCTGGCATCCTCTTCGCATCCTCGATCAAAGCATCCTACAGAACGTCGGATTGGCATCCATGGACGGATCAAACAACAGAATATACAACAGAGTAATTCCTTAGACTCTCACGGTAGGGATAGAAGAAGATTCCGTACCGGTGTGACGGTGTACAGAGCTGTCGACTCGTAAAAATGCTCGGCATGTTGATAACTGTGGAGCACCTGGTCTGATGTGAGAGAGCTTTTCAGGTAAAAGAAAGCAGCTGGTCGGACATTCTGCTTGCGGCGCGAGCACCCGATGAAAACGGGATCACTCTGAGTCAAGAAACCATGAAATTCAGTTGGATGATTCAATATCCAATAGTGTGCAGAGAATTGACTAATATACTGAAATACAGGGCTACGGGTTCACGATGTAAACTTCGGCAGTTTGAAAACGAATGATGAAGGAGGAGTTCATGACGAAATTTTTTTGCTGCTGACCAAAGCGCTAGATGGGATCCCCGTCTCTTCAACAACTTCCCGAGTTATGCCTTCAAACATTTCCTCCGCAATTCTCTTCTCCAGCTCTGCTTTCGTGGGTTTGTCACTCTCGCTGTGCGACAGGATTCCCGCTTCCTCTGGCTGCCAAGCCGAATGGAAACATGATAATTTGTTGGTCACCCATTCAGTCAACGATGAATTTCCATCAGATGTTGCAAGATGATATGTCAGAAATATCCGAACAGGACTGAACTGGTCCTCCGGTAGAAAGAGGTGAATCAGTCTAGAATGGAATAGCCCAGTCAGCTGATGAGTTTGCGGATGTGAATCAGGACATCAGGAGCCGGCTCACCTCGGGATGTCCACCAGGAAACACAAGAGTTCCGGGATATTCTCCTACATCAGCACTGCGCTGCAGGACAACAATCTGGTGATCAGCAGTCTCCACAATGGCTGCGTTGCCCAGGGGGCTTGACGTGTGCTTGCATCTTTCCGCATCATCTGAAAACACAAGGAGCGAATGTCACCGCCATTGTTCATTCTTCTTCAGGTTCAAGGTAATCAGCACGCCAGACCGCGCAGCTGCTGCAAACCGAGAGGATCAAGATCATGTTCACCAGGAGAACTTAAATCGAACTTCAAAAGAGAGTTGTACCTTTCGTCGGGACTAAAAAGTCTTGCCAACTACTGCTCAGGTTGCTGCCCACAAATGTCCTGCATCATTGCGACTCTCGTTTATCTGTCAGAAACTGGCAGCAAATAGTGGAACAAGCAGAATACTCACGCTTCTCAGTGTGATGTCCAAGGCGACGAAGAAGATGAGAAATTCCACTGCTTCAAAGACTTCTACTCGATAAATGCTCCTCACCTCGTTATCATCATATTACAACCTCAGTGCCAAATTAAAGTTTGTATGATGTAGCTTTACTCTACTTCAAGGAGAGCCAAGATCGAAACGACAGAGAACTCAGAGCGAGTTGTCTCTATGTTCTGCCTGCCGCTGAAACCACAATGCCTGAAGTGTATGGGTACAGAGAATCCTGAACTTCTTTCATCACCTGTAATCGGTGAGGCCGAGACAGAGGGACACTATCACAGGAGCTTTTCCATCGGCGTTTCTAATCTCTCGAAAACCCCCGTACTGCAACAAAAGAGCGTCCAGAGCTCAATCTCGTTGGCATCAAGCAACATTTCGTCCCAATCAAGTGGAACTCGGACATAATTCCCGATCCCAGGAAACCTTATTGAAATAGGTTCAATCGAACGGATTCATGAGAATTAAAAATTCCTACCTTAAATTCAGCTTGTCATCAAGTCCACTTACTTACTCTGAACTTCGTGCCATTGAAAAGTGACGGTTGAGCTGCGACCCGCAGTTCCCAAATCTGCACGATCGACGGATCAAAATTTCGGTGCTTCATCTTCATTCACAATGTCATGAGCAGGAGACAGAGGGAACGAAAAAGTGGTATGTGCTCGGTGAGATGACCTTACTTTCTCAATCGCTTGCTCCAGCTGAGGATCTGGATGGGGTTGCCGATCAAATGCTGCACTGAAGTCCACCAAGAGCTGCGACCAGCCAAATTTTTCATGAGCCGAAAGAAATATGGCGATTTTTATTCATCTGCGAAATCTTTGTTAAACAAAAAGTGCTTCGTCTTAATCCAGCGTAGCTGGCGTTTCCTGCTCTGTAATTGAATTTTATCGCATCGAGCTGCATTTACTTGTTCATGCTGCTGGGTTCAACAAGCATCCTTGCGAGCTGTGCAATTGAATGCTCACCTGGTTGCGCGTAAGAGGGACCGGACAGAAAACCAACAAATCGAAGTCCGCTTCCATCACCTGAGACTTAGACCAGGAGACGAAGTGGTTGGCATTCGCTGGTGGAAGCGCGTCGGCCGACTGATCAGGCGAGCTGCTCGCCATATCAGGCAAATTCAGATTGCAGATTGAGCCGATCGAAACAAATTTGCCTGATCCCGATCTTCAGAGCAGTTGAGTGGGGATGAGAGTTTCTTCCTTCACCATCTTCTAATGCTCTCTGAATTGTTTCTGGGCTTGCAATTATTTCCCCGAAACCTAAACGGACGGAGCAAAAGATGGAGGGATATTCTTGTCTTGCAAACATCTGGAAAAGACTGCCTCCGTGACCTATCCTTTGAGAACCAGATTTCTTCGTGAGGCTGGCGTCTCTGCCACTCCGAATCTCACGCTTTGGAGTACCGCCTCAAAATAATGTCAGCAGACAACTGCTCCCGTGCAAGCGTGTTTCGCCCATTCATATATTGTCTGCTTGTGCTTTTGCAAAGCGCTCACTGCCAACACCGCTCCTGCTGTGCTCAAACCCAGAGCACATAACCATTGGATTTGTCATCCCCTGTAACCACAGAGCAATGATTTGGAGATGCTTTGATAGTGAGAAGGACCTCGAGGATGCAGTGTGTACATTCCGACCACTAGCATCCAAATTCGAGTTAGCTGAATTATCTGTACTTTAAGGAGCGGTCTCGGCAGTGCAAACTTTTGGCTGTGCTTTAGCACGTACACGAATGCAATCACAACGACTCTGCCGTGACCATTCAAGTCCTCCACGCTACGCACTTCTTTCCGATTTCAGGGTGGAGCTGCAGTCATCACTTCAGAACGTGTTCCGTGTTGGTTCTGTGGCTCTCTGGATTTTCTTCCCACTTTTGAGATAATCATTCTCGAAAAAATGTGCTTTTGTATCGGAAATAGTTCCTCAAGTACACAGCCCGATGAGAAACTCACACACGGAACATGGCAGTGAGAACTGGATCTGTCAATGCTCGATGGTCGACGCCGTTGCCGACACTGCTTCTCCTCAGAAGCGCTTGTTTTAGCAGGCTGTAAATTTGTAAGCTCAAGAATGTCAACATAAGGTGAACAGAGAGCGGTGCCACCTCGAAGAATGTGAAGTCATAAGGTGAAGATTTCTCCGCAAAATTCGGACTAGAACAACAGCAATCCGTGTGACTGCACGAACTGTGCGTACAAAAAATGAATCAACGTGACTGCAACAAATCACTTCGACACTCTTGACTGCGCACTCCGAAGTCTTCGAGGAGGAAGTTTAACTCGTAGCAGTGGCTTAGCTCAGCTCGGCACAGCAACAAATTTTGTTCGAGGACAGGTCCTAAATCCAACTGTTCTTGCATCAGAAGTGGAGCAACAATGAAGGGATTGCCAACAGCTCAATTTGGGAAAGCTGATCGAGAGAGTGTAAGACAAATTCAGAAGAGTGGTAGCAGATGAGAATGTGAAGTTAGCAGCGTGGGTCATCTTGTGGACGTCAAGTAATGTTGGCAGAAGTCCAACTCTGCGGAGGTTGGAGCAGTTTTCCATTTTTGTTTCTGATATGGAAAGACGGTGGCGGTCTAAACCACCCACCATCTCAGAGCAGGAATGTTCCATCGATAACCAGCCATCGGACTTTCGGGCTTAGGAAAGCAAAACTGTGCCTGACTTGCAGATGGCCACAATCGTAGGGGAGCAGAGTACGAGGAACGAGGAGTGTAGTTTTTTAACTCCATGTCCATTATTGAGGTTTATTTCAGAAATTGTAATAGCAAACAGCAATCGATAAAGTTTATACTCGTGCTCTATTACAGATTCCGAAAATAGAAGTACTCAATGATAATGTGAACGGAGTTTAAAATTTAAGTTAAGATATATAAAATCTGATACATGAATCTTCCAAAATGTCCATCGACGCTGACATTTATATTTCTTTAAAATAGTTCTTTTGATTATCTATCTTAAACACAGTTGAAATAGAATTACATTGATCTGAAGTTTTTTCTTTGCAAGATATGTATTCTCATGAGAAAGTGCAATATTATTGAATTAAAATTTAGTTTCCAATTTTAATGTTCAAATATCCAATATGAACAGAACATGTCAAAGCTTATCACGTACTTTAATGAGAAGTAAAATGTGAAGATTTCATGAAAGAAAATCTTTTACTGTAATAATTATTATTTGAGTTGCGTACATTTTTTTTTTAGGAAGAATGCAAATAGGGTCCAAAAAAAGGAGACGAAAGGAAGGAGAACGTTAAAAAAACGATAAAAAAATGGCCTCCGAAAAGAAGTTTCATCTTCTTCACTGACCTGGTAGAGAGCGCGGTACACAACGCGGTTGAGATATCCTGATACGTTTTCTTCGATTCACAGCAAATCGGTTAGATGACCGTATATTGTCAAGGACCTTTGTTGCACAATCACGTTTTTTACATTTGGATGCTCTATGTTTTATGAGATATATAAATAGCATAACGTAGATGTATTAAACATTTCACTGTATATTTATAAATGTGATGATATTGGAAGTCAGACCAGTGCTACCCGTTTTGGTTCATTAAGTAGGAAAGGTCGAAGTTCTATATATATATATATATATATATATATAAAATATAAATTGAATGGTCATATCGGATGACTATACAAAATCGGTTTTTGACACAACAATAAACTTGGATTCTAACAATGCAATGTCAAATTGCATAAAGGTAAACGTTTTGATCGGAGCAAAAGAGAAGCTACTATTTTATCATAGAGTATCTCCCGGTTTGGATTTTTTCTCAGCAATTGATGATCGGATGAACAAATGAAAAGTTCTCGAGTAAGGGAGAAAACCACTTCTATATTCAGTGAAACCGAGAAGGCCCTATGTCATTGACCGAAACAAAATAGCGGCGTACCAAGTAACATACCAAGAGTTTGGGAGTAATACCCCGTCGAGTCCAACATGGATCCATGAAGCCAGCAACATATATGGAAATATGTCTTCTCGAACGTCAAATATATCCTACCTCTCTCGTCAAACACAAACTTACATCCTTATATTTGACTCCGCAGAAGTGCAGCCAGTTACCATGAAGACTTTGACATAGAAGTGGCGTACAAGGCGAAGCTACGTAAGTCATAGCAAAGCTAGATAAGGGCCCTCGTTGTCTCCCGGTTGAGGAGTGACAACACTAACAGGTCAGACTAAATTCCTCGGTGTAGGAGCAATGAACAGCGACTGAAATCTATGCGGTGCAATAGGGCTATGTATATACAGAAGGTATTACATGCCAACTGCTCGACAAATCACCTGTCGGCTGGTTCCGACCTCGGCGGCTAAAATGACAAGAAAATTGAAGTCAATTGAGCTAATACACGTGTAAACCAAAGCCCAGGCAGGCCCTTAGGAGCCGAGATGTTTGGTTAAGGTATAAAGGAAAGCGGAGATTGGCACACCTGATTCCTGTCGTGTACAATTCAAGATGACTCGAAGGCTCGTAATATCTTCCTCACGATTCTGTCTTCGGATCTTGGACAGATCGCTATAAGATGGTTGGAAATGTCGCCCACAATAATGTCAAGTGGTTCTCATTCCAATTACTATCATCTGTACGTAGCCAATGGTGCAATATTCTAGATATTTTAAGATATTTTAATCTCACACTGCTGAGTTTGTTTGACGAAGTTGTCGACGAGCTTGACTTCCGTTTCCCAAGGACTTTTGAGTTTCATATTCATTTCTGTGGTCCCGGGGGAACATTGTGGATCATTGCTCTGAAATGCAGCCGTGGTAGGGAGGAAAGAAAAGAGGCCATGACGACGGGATTCATTATTGTAATGCTCTTGCTGCTTCTGGCTACTCCGCTCTCAGAGATGGCTGCCAACGTCGAATTTAGCTCAAAGGTACACGTGCATTCCTCGGATTTGAGGTGCTGTCTCGTTCAGACTTCAGCTGACAAATGACGGGTCTAGAAATTTTGCAGTTTTGGAGATCTTCTCCCAGTAGAGGAGGAATTTGAGGGAGACATCTCGGCTATTTTAATATCTTTCGTTGTTTCAGAGCATATTGGGCCAGTTTGATATCTGCGTCGGAACATGGAAGTGAAGTGTGCCACCAGCATCGAGCCGATGGAAGAATCTGTCGCAGGCTGTAGGGTCATATCCGTGACGTGAGAGTCATGGATATTAGTAATTCAAAATGAGGCTTCACGTCGTTGAATATTTAATTTTATTCTACTGATAGCTGCGTTTTACAGAGTGATTCTCATGAAGCTACATGAACCCATACTAGTAAAACCTTATCTCTCGTGTTCCTTCAAAAGTAGTTCTGTCAATTGTCTAACCGCGACTGCAATCAGCTGGATATAATACACTTGGCCTACATTTTACATCGAAAGAATACTCGAAATGATACTCGACTTGTACCTAGTGTGTCTAAAAATGTCGTCGGTAATGTCTGCGTTTGTAGACTGTGTGAAGGTGCTTGTGCTTGTGGATAGCTGAAACTGAATTGATGCTCAGTGACGGACGTGCAGACATTAGAAACAAATCCCACTGCACACTTCGTGTTTATACACGGTGCCGGACATGGAGCATGGTGCTGGTACGAGGTGGTCACCATTCTTGAGAAAGCTGGTTACAAAGCCACTGCTTTAGACTGTCTATCAGCCGGCACAGACAACACGAGCCCTGACGATGTGACTAGCGTACAGCAATATTCAAAGCCCCTCATCGACTATCTTACCACTATCACCGATAAGGTACTCGTTGAGCCCCGCCCTTTTGATCCCTGTTTGATTCTTCGGGGCCAAGCGAATGCACTACTCAATTTCAACTGATTCCGCTACCTTTCTGGCGAAGTATGTCAGCACCAATTATGTGCGGTCGTTGCTTTCAGCACTACCGTAATCTACAGAAAAGCTGAGCTTGTTCAGTTCACATGGCCTGACACGCTAACTGGTATGTCAACACGAGTCAAGATCACGTAGATATTTAGAATCTAAAACATCAGCTGTCGTCGATGTTGCTCGCCACTTTCAGTTGATATTAAATCAGTTTGTAGTATTACTGATATTGTAAACAGCAGGCGTTATACATTCGTTGGTGACGCACACGAGGTTCTTTAGTGCCACAAAATGGCATTCCAGAGGCAGCCGAATGCAAAAAGATGTCCAACTGGCACAAAGGAGATTGCGAAACTGTAAACTTTGGCCCCAGTTTACAGTTTCGCAAGTTCCTTAGATTTGTTCGTTTTTTACAACCGGTCGAATCTGGCCTCATACGGGTGGATGGGACGATACTGGCTAATTCTGAAGTTCTGACATGTCAAACATGGCTGAAACATCGCGAGCCAGTAGAGCCAGCATTTACGGAAAAACTTTACACAACTGAAATGTGTTTGAGGTTGTCCAGAAAGTGACGGGATCCCGTTCTTTTGGCAGGTAATTCTTGTGGGCCACAGTTTAGGAGGCCATTGTATTGCGCTCGCTATGGAAGTCTATCCTGAGAAAGTTTCCAAATCAGTTTTCCTTTCAGCTATCATGCAAGTCAAGGGTTCCGACATCAGCGACCCCAATTCTACTTTGAGCGTACATCCCTGCACCCATTAAAGACATTACGTGATTACGTGCATTTCTTGTCAAATCTTAACATCTCAGGGTCTTGCACTAGTGGAAACAGAAGAGACTTACGTAGCATTTGGGTGGAAATGTCCAGAAACTGTATTCCAATGACTCCAAGAATTTCTCCTTCACCTACGTGAATGGACTACAAGCTCAACCAACGTCTCTTCACATTCCGAAGTCATCGATTTCGAATTTGTACTACAACGAGAGTCCACCATCGGTTGGTTCTCTTCTGATTTGATCACTCCAAATTTTAGCTTTCATCAGATGGGATGAAAGAGAGCACTTGAATGTCAAATTCTTGTAGAAATGTTTTAGGCTTTTGAAGCCAAGTCTTTGTCCTTCGCTGTTTTTCCATTCAATGAAGGGTTGGCTGTTCTTGCAGGCCGCCACACTAGCTAAATTATTGATGAAGGCAGTACCTGTTCAAGCAGTGTTCAGCCCATTCGATCTCACCCCCAGCAGGTATGGGACCGTTCGTCGATTCTATATCAAAACAGGCAAAGACAACGCTATTCCTGAGAGCTCTCAACAGGAATTTATCGATAGGAGCCCAGTTGAGAAGGTTTTCAGCATCGACGAAAGCGACCATTCTTCTTTTCTCAGTCATCCCCGGCAACTCGCTCGTTACCTGGAGATAATTGCCAAGCTCTGATTCGGCCTAATCAGCGGATTTCGTTTTTCCAGCCATAGCGAGACGTTTTGCCAACCCGAAAAGATCTATCGTAGATGATGAAAGACTGACGAGGAAGTCTAAGGAAGGAAGGGTAGTAGGAAGTATATACTGACAGTATCAGTGAAGGAAGATGATGATCGTGCTCCAAACGACCGGCTAGCCTGACTGGTTATAATCATTCATTCCCTCGGGTTAGAAAGATACATTCAGAATCCGTGACTCACGCACTTCAGCCAATGGAAGGGCAAACTAGATGTGTGTAGGGAGCACTTGCTTCACTTTACAGTAGTCACAAGTAGGTACTTTTAAAATTTACAGTTGTGCTTGTCGTTTACAGTACCTTGTATATATATACTTAGACACTGAAAGAAAGGATAAAGTTATGGACACTCACCATACAACTTGTTGCTCAATTGTGATGTCATTCTCTATCCTAAATTTTCAACTTTTTTGCAACTTTTTTATTCTGTAATTGAAGAGAGGAGCAGGATGGGACGGCTAAAATGTTTGGATAATTATTTGTCGGCTCATAGCAGTTATAGAGAAGGAGACCCGTTGCAAAACTAAATGACAACAGAAAGGAACGCTCGCCTGGTTAGAGGTGAAGCCAAGCCGGTCGGAATGTTTCTTTGGATCTACAATATTGGCTCTACAGGTGACAATCAATGGCCTGTTTGTATGAATCCTTTGTAGCTGAACGTGACACCATCACATTCAAAGCTTCAGAAGGAAATTCTTAGTTCGCAGGATGCGTGGAACTCCGCTACATATGGCAACTCATGTTGTTAGTAAAGTAGGTTCCTCACTCACACTTTACAGGTGCTTTGACAACTACATGGGGGAACACCACGAAGAGAGGAGCAGGAGCAGTCTGATGGATAGGCTCCTGACTTCGTGATGTGGTGAGAGTCAGATCCAGAAGATGGGGATCAGCGAACGTCTAGCTAGATCCAGATCATAAACCAGAAGCAAGTAGAGAATAATGTCGTTGATCAACGGTGATTCATTTCGCACCCGCGAAATGATTATTGAGTTTTACTCTGAATCTCGGTTTCATTGGCCAGAACGTCTTGACACACGGGCAAGCTGTTTCTCAAAATCATGAAATTCATAAGGTGTTCCCAAGCAGTCTCGTTAGGCCAAAGCTTTTCCCCAGGACTTCTTTGGGCCGAAAACCGACTTCACGGCAGGACATATCGGCTGCACATCATCTGTTTCGGTAGTCTCGTCTGTGAAATTTGACCCTGATAATTGTAAGATACTTTCAACTGAGCTATCACGCCTGCGGATTTACTGTAATTCCAGATCGACAACCTGACATAGCTCTCACATCCGAGTGGAGTTGACAAGAGTCCCTGACTGGCAGTACATAAGTGAGGATTCTCGCCGCCCAAGAATGCTGTGCACTGGTTCCAGTTGCCTCCTCTACGTTCCGTTCCGCGAAGGTGGACACCCGAATATATTTCTGAGGTCCGTTGCTCGATACTTCCACGAAGACAGGTGCCTACCCAGCAGATAGTGTTGAATTTGATGACAGTTCCATGCTGCATTGCCAGCTTTTCTGGCTAGTTCAATGTATGCAGAAGAGATACAATCTAAATTGACCGCTGTCTTGTAGTGCTGCATATAAGACAGCGCTCTAGTTAGATAGTTGAGAAATAAAAGTTGCAGTTGTCCATATTTGTAATTGTGATGCTATATGGGATTAGCCCCATGTTACATTTTGGTTCCATTACTCCTGGTCTTCCCATCCCATCGGATCTTGTTAAACCCTTGTCTCCACTTTCGGTTTCATAACATCCACGTACTGCCTGATGAGAGGCCTTCACATCCTTTTAGCTGAATTACTTGGTCCCACCAAATACATTGATTGCAGTTATGTGAGCTGCTCTCAAAAGGTCCAAGATCTGGACAGGAGGAGACTAAATGGACTTTGGCGGTGGTCAACTTCTTGTTCTGATTACGTACAGTTGCTCATTTCTTTGACCCTGATTCGAGAAAACTACAGTACAGTATAAAGATGTAACCCGTGACATGCGATCAGCTAAACCCCGAGGGGTCCTAACCCTGATTAGCAGCATTACGCATCACCTTGGTCCTTGGTAGCAAATAGTAAGGTTATCGTCATGATCATCAAGTTTTGTTGTTCACTGGTTAGATTTTTTCTTTTAAATGCATGCGAGAGACGGCAGATGAATAGATGGGGAAGGGGAAGATGAGAAGGTATAGAATCCAAACTCCGAGCTATTCATGAAGAGGACTAAGTCTACTTTACAGAACATCACAAGAAAGCATCTCACATGTAGAGCTTTCTTCAAGTGAAAACTCCGGAATGCTTAAGAGTGGATTGGGTAGAAGCATATTACTTACATGAGAGAATTACTTGATGGTACCCCATCTGAAGGCGTAAGTCTTGATGGGAACCAATAAGTTCTATTTTCCGACGGCAGTTGAGTACACCGTCACGGATGTTCTACTACGAGTTCTTCTAATTGATTTGAGTCCGGGTTAGGAAATGCACTTTGCCTCTTTGTCGAAAAGTGACTTCTCCCCTCAGGCACTTCACGGACCAAAATACGCAACTTTTGTGACTTCGGCCAAGAGTTTTAGAAAAACAAGTAAGGAGTGAGTAGATTACGCCAATACATTACAACTGTAAAATCATTTTGGGAGGTAAGAAATTGGATTCTTGGATGATGAAGATTGGGAGCTATGGGAAATCTTACTAACTTAACTTTGGGAAGAATTTTTTGTTTCATTGAAGTGAAAACAAAGCAGTTACAAGAACATATCTGACGGTGAACCGTCATAGGGGTCCCATCGGGTAAAATGGATCGTATTGGGTCCCATAAAGTAAATTTCTCTATTTACATAAACATACTAGAAAATTACTTCATATTATCCTGCGGAGCGCTAAACATTTGCTAGGACCCAACATAGTTCATTTTACCAATTCGAGTTCTAGTAACCAGATAGTTCGCATCTCGAGTGTGAAGAAGTAACTACCCTTATCGGATCAAAGGTATGTACCATATTCATCCATAGAAACTAGTTGATGTGATTAGGGTATACATCTTGATAAATTTAACCTCAGGTCATGATCTCCTAGCTCTTTATCTTCCTAATGATAGTTGGGATAGCTCGTTGTAGCTACCTGTCTGTGACCTCATCGCGTCATTCATTTGTTCCAAGAACTCTTCGATTTCCAAAAAAATTGCGTTTGTGAATGGCTCGTTGGTGCGTTTCAAAGTTTCAAATCACTAGTGATATTTTGACATCATTATGATATTTTGAAGTCGAGCCAAGCCCGCTCCACAACTCCAAGAATCCAGACCGATGCTAAGGGGATACCATAGCTAACACACTGAGAACTACTCCCAGGCTAAAAGACTCAATTAAAAAAACTGAAGGTTTTTGAAGTCTTCAGGCGACTTTACTCTTCAACAAGAATGGGCACTAACCTAGGGTTAACTCAAGTAGAGTTAAATCTAATCCAATATTAACTATTCACAACACATATGGACATGACATATCTAACGCATAACTCGTATTGGAACATGGGTTTGTGGATGTCTCATTGATAGAAAAATTTACTTGATGGATACCCTAGGTAAGTTGAAACAACTTGATAAGATCCAACAGGTTTCATTTTACTCAATGAGATCCCTTCGATGATCATGCACTTCACCGTCAGCCATGTTATAGTAGAAGATATTATAATCCGATAATTTGTGCCACAATATGGGAGGTACTGGTATTCTCACGGTACGGGTGTATTGTAGAATACCTTACCTCCACTTGTACCACGGGTGTGGTACAATATGGGAGGTATTGGGAGGTAAGGTATTCTCACGGGAGAAAATGAATGTACATCGTTTGCAGCCATGTCTTAAGATAATGACGGTCATGTACAGACTATCTATAACAAATTTCAGATCTTCTTTGCATATCTACTATCAAAATCCTCAAAGAGTCTTGCAGTAATTGCATCCAACAACGTAACCAACTTTCTATCCAAAATCACCAAATGATTCATCTTGAAGCATGAAACATGATTAAACTCGGCATATTGGAACATGGCTCACAGTGAAGTGCATGGTCGTCGAGAGCGTCTATTGGATTAAATGAAATCTATTGAATCTCATCAAATGTGCATTATAGTAAACATTCGCTTGCGACCGCATCCAGGTTAAATCCTTGTGATTTTATTTTTTTAAGTAAATCAAAATTTTATTAAATATTCAATATATAAAGTTGAATAGAGTCATTTGACGGCTCTTTGTCATGACACCCTGAATAATTGTCAATCAGCCTCCTTGCAGGATGCGGTGAAGCATGAGCAATGCTAATTTGGCTTGAAAAATTTGCTCCAATGACAAAAATGCTCATTCCTGAAGATCATTTGAAGGAATAGTTAAATTGATAACATCTAGTAGTGAGTCATTGATTATATTCGCTGATCAAGTGACGCTTCCCTCATATTCAGGGCTTCGCAATGAGATTCACTTTCACTGTCTTGAGATCCCTCTTCAACAGCAATGGTGACAACGTTTGTCAGTGCATCTTCAATCTCCTCAATCACAACGTTCTTGCAGAAGTCGGATTCATCATTATTGTTGTCAAAACATTGCTAGATCTCAGCGCTGAGATTTGAATCATCGGCATCATTCAGAATTCTACAACAATCTTGGGACATTTCCACAATTTTTTTGAGATCATTATCATTGATGAATGTATAGCTGATATTGCAAGAACTAGAAATAATATCAGCTTTCTTGAAACAATTTTTCAAACTTTGCACTGAAATGTTATTCCATGCAATCTTAACAAAGTTAACATTGTCACGCAAATGAAACGGTCAACATTAAACAACTCTTGCAGCATCCCGTTTCACTTTTTATGTAGCAAAGTCTAATTGTTTCCTGGGGATCAAGATATTCATGATAAGTGATGATGTCCTTGGCCTTGTATTGTTTTTT